CAATTATCCAATATAGGATAATACAAGATTAAACACAAATGGCACATCTTTTAAAATGTAATAAAAAATAATATCCTATAACATGTATATACAATGGCATAGTCTGCATGTGAAACATTTGTATCTGGCATTCAGAATTAAATGCTGTTTTTTCAATTGAGTTTTTTTTGTGCAGCGTACTTTGATCATTTGTACCGAGTTGATTACTGGCAAATTGAGCAAGTATTAGTAGGTGGTGGGTCTCCTATTTTAGTAAGCAGCAGCTGATATCTAGTTGCATTGTGTTATTTAAGTTTTAGTGCAACTAGACCTATATATTTTGCAGTTTCTTTGTGTATAAATACACAAGGCAGGGGCAGCTTTAACTAATATGGCATTAACACTAATTAACTTTAGAAAGCAATTATGTGCAGAACATGTTTTTAGTCTAGAACAGGGAGACAAAAGTCTTACAAACATCTCCAGTCTGAAGAGTTCAATTGTAAATAGTAGAAAACTATGTTTAAAAAAGAAACGAGGACAACATGGGAAATAACCACATTGCAGCAATTCTTGATTGACAAAATTACAGCTAGAGGCTTAAGGTTAGAAAAAGACCCATCATTCAAAGATATGGATTGTGAATGTAAGACAAAGTAGAAGCATCCCCTAGAAGGGGTAGCACTATTTCTGGTTTATATCACAATAAAAAGCAAAATTAAATATTTAAGCCAGATAAATAAAGAAATTGAAGAAGTTATGCAAGAACTGGAATCAGAGTATGAAAAAGAAGGAAAGAAGAAACCAGAAAAAACTATCAATAAGTTCTATAAATTAAAAACGCATGTTAAAGAAGTCAAGAAAAAAAATACCGAGGGATAAATCGGATTATGAAAATAATAACTTCAAAAGAGGAAAAAAAGAAACATTACATTTGATAATAGGAAATTAACAAATAAAGAGGAAATAGAAATAGAAAAATAAAATTGGGAAAAGCTAAATAAAAGACATCAAATGCTTAAGGGGAAAGAAGAAAAACATAAAGCAACGAAAGGAAAATGGCCCAATCCAACAAACCAACTGAAACATTTCTCCTGTCACTGCAACTTTAAGATCTAATTCCACAAACAAACTCAAACAAAAACACTTAATTTCTACTAAGCACTACCCACCAGCCCAGCCCGGCTCATCTAACTATATAGCATGCTCTTCCAGCTGTTTTGCATCACAGTCAATCACATCCTCGATCCCTTCACATGTTATTGCAATTATACTATTAATTTTCTCTGCCATCCGCCAATTTCCTCTGCTACCTCTTGTCTCATCTCCGCATTTAGATTGTAACCTCACAGGCTATTTAGCAAAGTACTCTGTTTAAAATATGTTCAGGGATTAGATCTCTGCTCACGGGCAGGGTCTTCTTTACCTTTTGTATTGGTCTGTTTATATTGTACTGTCGTTTTTCCAATTGTACAGTGCAGTGAAATATTTTTGCACCTTATGAATACCAGTAATAAATAAATTCATAAAAAAACCAAAAAGAAGCATATGAATGAAACCAATAAAACAAGATAAAAGATGGGGGAGATGCAAAAACTACCTAGAAACCCAATAGAAGAAAAAAAAATACCCCATCAATGAACTGCAACGAATGTTCCAAGATTTTTAACCTTTTAGGAGCTACTTTCACAACACCCCACATCAGAGTCCTTAACAAAGGTTTTAGATATGCCCCCACCAGCAATTTAAACCAATTTAATGGCTACATAGATATCCAGAGGTTTGTGAGGAAGTTATGTTTAAATAAATTATTTAAAAATAATAAAGAGAGACTTAACATGAACATGTACCAGTTAAGTAAGGGATTTTTTTCAACATTAAAACCATATTGACTTTTTGTTCCTCAAAATACGACAACTGTGCATATGGATCTATTTGGAGAAATAGTGATTCAAGATATTGGCAAACTTAAGAAAACAAATTATAAAAAGGCCAACCTTACAAGAAAATAAAGAACTGAAAGAGAATGAAAGGTTGATCATCAAGCTGGCAGATAAAGGTGGAGGGATTGTCATATTTACGAAAGGAACAATAAGAGGAAGAAGCAAAGAGACTATTAGAATATAGAGAAACATATATACTTTGTCCAAAGTTCCCACCACAGAAAAAAACAGTAACTAAAAGATCTTTTAGAAAAAGGTCTGGAATATGGAATACTGAAAACAAATGAATATGATTTTATATACAATAAATTCACAAAAATTCCAAACTTCTATTATCTGCCAAAGATTCACAAAAAAAAATCAGAACCCTCCAGGCAGGCCAATTCTTTCAGGGATTAATACCCTAACATCAAGTTTGTCTCAGTATATAGACATTTTAAAAACACTTTATGTAACAAATACTAATAAGTATTTTGAGGATATTAGAGATTTTTGAATGAAATAAAAATATGATCCTAATTATTAAGAATGTTTCCTCAGTGTACACTAACATTGAGAAAAAACTCAAAGTGGGAATATGTTAAAAATGCATTGAATAGCAAACAACCTAGATAGCCTACAGGTGGATTCTTTAATAGAAGCTACTGTTTTTCACTTTAAAGAACAATTGTTTTTGGTATGATTTTCAGTTCTATCTTCAAGTCAAGGGAAACGCTATTGGCACCAGATTTGCTCCAAGCTTTGCAAATCTCTTCATTGGATCTTGGGAAGAAGAGTATAAATGGAAATCTCATCTATAGGGAGATAATCTGGTGACCTATAAGCAGTACATTAGTACAAATTAATTAGGACATTTTCAAATACCTCAACTGTAATACATAGGGAATACCTAAATAAAAGATGGCTTGAAAATGTACCCGATTATGCGCATAAGAAGGAAATGCACAGAGAAGAAAGAATATGAGGAACACGCAGAGGTCATGA